GCTTCCTATGTCATGGTGCTGTTATTGGTATTAAATATGATAGTGTATGTTTAAGTGTTTAGTTTAGTGTCTGAGTACCTAGTAAACACTCCGTGAACCCTAGTTGTTGTTATTCTAACCTAACCCAGCCAGTAGTGAGTTTGGGAGCCGTATGTTGTGGGACAGTGAGTTTCTCACTTTTGGGGGCGGGGTGTACCAGGGATCAAACTCTGGACCTTGCTCTTGCGAGGCACCTCTGAGCTAAATCCCCTACCCATCACTTATTCTTTTCTTTCTTTTTTTTCTTGTACCACAAACAGGCAGCAGAAAACAGCTGAAACAGAAGAGGGGACAGTGCAGATTCAGGAAGGTGAGTGTTGAGACTAGGACCAAAACCAGGTGTGGTATCACAGGCCTCTCATTCCAGCACTCTGGGAGGCTTTAAGTTCCAGCTCAGCCTGGGTAACTTAAAGTCCTAATGAGAACTTGCTCAAAATAAAAAAAAAAAAAACTACTGAATATCTAGCTCATGTGAAGGCCTTGGGTTCAATCCCCAGAACTAAGCAAACAAAAAGACAAGGAAAAATATTTATTTATTTATTTTTTAAATTTTTATTGAGTTTATTGGTACAATCTAGGTATACAATACAATTACATTCATTATTGGGATCCTGTACCTTTACATGATAGGTCTTGATTCTCATTTTTCCCCTTGTCCCTGCCCTCCCTTCACCCCCCTCTTCTCCTCCCCATTTACAAACACTTTATTTCCATTTTTTTCATTTTCTCATATTTTTTTCCTCTCCCTTATTACCTTTCCCCCACCCTTCCCACTTTCCCTACACCTTTAGCCCTTTACTTCCTATTTCACATTATTAATTATCTCATTAGGATCCTGTGTGCTATTATAGTTTTTCACACCAGAGAAACTATTCGGTATTTCAGTTAAAGAAATCTCTATATGAACATTAAAATTAGGGAATCCTAAAATAAAACTAAAAAGGAAAGTAAAAGAGAAAAGGCAATGATGTAATATTAAAATAATTGACAAGGAAAAATATTAAAAAAAAAACAACAACAAAAACAAAAATCAGGACCAAGATCAAGAACCCATCATGACTTCCTTCCCTTCCTGACTAGCCCACCTCCTGTGCACCTTCCTTCTTCTAAATAACATGTGAGTAGTACAGAGTGAGGAAGAGGGGCCCTTAACTCCCTGGCTCTTTTAACTCAGGTGCAGTGGCTACTGGGGAGGACCCAACCAGTGTGGCTATTGCCAGCATCCAGTCAGCTGCCACCTTTCCTGACCCCAACGTCAAGTACGTCTTCCGAACTGAGAATGGGGGCCAGGTAAGGGAGGGAGCCAGGTGGCTGCAGGTGTTACTTGGGGCTGGGGTTGAGGGAGGTAATTGAATGTGTCTTGGGAGACCTGGCTCGGAGGATGAGGTGACAGTGTGGGACTCTGGTGGGTGGGAGCTATAGGAGGCTTGGAGTCGGAATTGATGTGGGGTAAAAGTTGGCTGAAACCATTGTATGGGGAAAGAAGGCTGGCTGTGTCTGCAGAAGACCTGTTGTGTTTCCCTGTCCAAGGGAAGCTTTATTATGGGCCCTGTGATTCTCAGTGCTTATTCTTTTCGTTTTCCTTTTCTGTTCTCCCTTCTCTGCTTCTAGGTGATGTACAGGGTGATCCAGGTGTCTGAGGGGCAGCTGGATGGCCAGACTGAGGGCACTGGAGCCATCAGTGGTTACCCTGCCACTCAGTCCATGACCCAGGTACAGGGGTATGGGCTATGGAGGGTCCAGAGCTGAGCAGTAAGAGGAAGAAGGGAAACAGTGGGATGGGGGTGAAACTACATACAGTGGGGCATCTTGGTCTGCCTTGACCCAGGGTACTAGGCTCATCCTTTCTAGCTATTTTCCCTTCCCTCCTGCAAGGGATAGAAGCTATAGAGGGGTACAACAGGAAGACGTATCTGACTGTCACTGGACTCTGTTCTCTTGTTCCTTTTCCCAGGCTGTGATTCAGGGTGCTTTCACCAGCGAGGATGCAGTTGACACAGAGGGGACAGCTGCTGAGACGCACTATACCTACTTCCCCAGCACTGCAGTGGGAGATGGGGCAGGGGGTACCACTTCGGGGAGTACAGCTGCTGTCGTTACTACCCAGGGCTCGGAGGCACTGTTGGGACAGTCCACTCCTCCCGGCACTGGTGAGCTATGGCACAAGGGTACCAGCTGGAGGGAATGGGACATGCCGTGGGATGTGGCAGGGCCTGTGGGCCTTTACTCTTGACCCTTGGTCATCACTAGGGCCTGGGCAGTGAGCCTGAGGCTGTCCTACTAGCAGGAGGGAGCGCAGTCTTGTCAGAGAAGGGCCCCAGGCGCTGGTGAGGTTCTTCGCCCCAAGTCCTGACAGAACCTACCCCGCATCTTCACAGGTCAGTTTTTTGTGATGATGTCACCACAAGAAGTATTGCAGGGAGGGAGCCAGCGCTCGATTGCCCCCAGGACCCACCCTTATTCCCCGTGAGTGACCCAGTGTCTTCTCAGTTTCCATGAGTGGTCTTAATACCTGCTAAATCTTGGCTAATTCCTGACCCCAGATTCTAATCTTGTTTTTTTGTCCTCTCCTCACTCTGGCCACCCTGTGCTCTGTTGTCAGGAAGTCAGAAGCTCCAAGGACCACTCGGGATGAGAAACGCAGGGCTCAGCATAATGAAGGTAGGTCCGATCCAGGTGCAAAGCCAGGAGCTATCTGGTGAGATTGGGCAGCGGTGATGTCTAGGGAGAGGAGGCCTGGTCAGGCCCTGAGTTTTCACTGAGTCAGTTTGTCCTCCACTTTGGCCCACAGTGGAGCGCCGCCGCCGAGACAAGATCAACAACTGGATTGTACAGCTGTCCAAGATCATCCCGGACTGCTCAATGGAGAGCACCAAGTCTGGCCAGGTCATGGAAAGACCCTGGAGGGGACAGGAGGCCTGAACTCTGTCTCCTGGTATTGTTTGCATACATGGTAGAGAGCAGGCCACAAAAGGCAGTCATCTTTTCATATCCTTTTCTGAAGCTCCTGTATCCTTGGGAGATGTGACACCACTGTTTTTAGGGGAGAGGAGGAGGGATGACGTCCAGAATGTGATGATGTTTTTGCAGAACAAGCTGGATAGCTTAAATCCTCATCTCATTTTGTTGGCTTTGTGTTGCAGAGTAAAGGTGGAATTCTGTCCAAAGCCTGCGATTATATCCAGGAGCTGCGGCAGAGTAACCACCGGCTGTCTGAGGAACTCCAGGGGCTAGATCAGCTGCAGCTGGACAACGATGTGCTTCGACAGCAGGTCAGACCCCCAGCCCTGGGACAGTGCCTGCCTTGACTCTTGTCGCCAGCAACCCAGCGAGGGACTCCCTCTGTTCGCCGCTGAGAGCACCTCACATTTTCCTCCTCACTAGTGGATGTCTGAATGAGTTTAGGGGCTCGGCAGGGCTGACTTTTCTACCCATTCACCTTACCGCCTCCTTCCCATGCCAGGTGGAAGATCTTAAAAACAAGAACCTGCTGCTACGAGCTCAGTTGCGGCACCACGGATTAGAAGTTGTCATCAAGAATGACAGCAACTAACTATGGGGACTCGGGCTTTGGGCCTGAGGACTGCACATTGCTCAGGAGCAACAGTCTGATCCCATCTCCTTTCCTTCACCGCCCACCTCTGGCACGGGTCTGGGGGAAGTTCGGAAGGCGTGTCTTTGACCTGAGGCTCTGCAGTGTGTGAAACCGGCTGTGCACTGACAGCCTTGCCCGCCACACCGTGCAGCCCTTGGGCCCTTGCGCTCCTCTTGCACAATGCATGTGCTGTCTCCATGCCAGATACGGGACACACGCAACTGAGGGGCTTGCCCTGTGCTTGCTTAGAGTGCCCAGCAGAGGGTCTGCTGACGGGCTGCCCTGGCTCACCCCAGGATTCTGGCGCTTCACTGGTTCTTCCTTTCCCTGCAGCTGAGGTTCAGGGGTGCACCTGGCAACGGGGGAACAGGCTTAATGAAGAGTTGGGGTGGATGCTTAGCAGTGTCTGCATCCCCACGAAGAGGAGGTTGGCCATTGCGCAGCTAAGGCCGATGCAGAAGTCTCTGAAGCCAGGGAGAACAACAGGCAGGGCCCACATGGCCCTTTTCCCTTGTGGGAGTGGTTCTTGATTTTTTTTTCCCTTTCTTTCCTTCCCTTCTTCCCTCTTCCTTTTTTTTTTTTCCTTCAAAGATAAACGTGTTTAGAGCCACAATTGTCTGTTTTGTCTATTTTTCCTCCTTTTCTGGGCCCCTGAGCAGAAGGGAGGGCACATTGTCCTTTGACCAGTAAGAGCTGGGACAACGTTAGGGTGGGGTGCTGCTCCTGAAAGCATTACCCTAAACCTTAAACCCGGTACCTGTGACAGACGGTGTCGTTTCCGGCCCATGTGGGGCAATCGCAAGGATCCCTCAGGTGGGCTGTGGCGAGGCAGCGGAACAGGTGCCGCGGGCGCTGGGTGCAGGCGGTGCTTTTGCTTCCGGTTCCGGTCTTAGCTCCGGGGAGGAGGGGGAGATGCTGCAGGCATCGGGGCACCGGGCTGCGTTCCTGCGCCTCCTTGCGATCTCAACCACTGTGCGCACCATGGCTGCAGGTACCTCCCAGGGGGACCTGGGCCGGAGTCTCCGGCCTGTGGCCCCGGGAGTGAGAGCGCGGGAGGCCCGCTGTGGAGGAGGAGTGAGGGCCGTGGCTGGGAGGTCCCACGCTCCTTGTCCTTTGCAGGCTGGGCCAGGTGAGCGGCGCGGTGGCCCCCGGTGCCTCGCAACCCCCTCTCCTGAAGGCTTGCACAACCCTCTTCTTCAGGTCCCACAGTGTCGCTCCCTGAGCTCCGGTTGCTCCTAGCTTCGGGCCGGGCCCGGCTCTTCGATGTGCGATCTCGGGAGGAGGCGGCTGCGGGGACCATCCCCGGGGCGCTCAACATCCCGGGTATGGGGTCGGGAGGAGACGCCGGTGTTGGGGCAGAGCTAGTCAATTTAGGATGGCGGTGGGGATCGGGAGGTCTACATTCCCTTCAATTCCCTTGACTGGCTCTCAGCTTCCCGCTGAAGGGGTGGTCAGAGGCGGGTCCTGCAGCAGAACCGGTCTGTCCGGTTTGCGGGGACCAGTGGGGAGGGACAAGCAGCCCCTCCCTCCGCTTGACCTCCCAGAGGCCGGACAATCGATCGAGTCTCCTCAGTCTGCTGGAGACCTGGGAAGCCGCTGTTTATGTCTCGAATTCGAAGGTCGTTTGGCGGACTTCTAACTAGGCGGCTGCTTTTGCCCTTGAGTTTGGGATGGGGCAGGAGATGGCCACTATCTGTTGTTCTGGGGTCCCTGGAAATTTGTTCTTCGGCCAGGACCCAGCTCGGGCAGGCCCAGCTCCTGAACCTAGGAGCACCGTCGCTGCCACTGCTGGCTTTCTTCACCTCTCACCTTCTGGCCCCTCTCCCAGTGTCCGAGTTGGAAAGTGCCCTGCAGATGGAGCCGGCTGCGTTCCAGCCTTTGTACTCGGCTGAGAAGCCAAAGCTGGATGATGAGAATCTTGTCTTCTTCTGTCAGAAGGGCAGGCGGGGCTTCCAGGCCACACAGCTGGCCCAGAGCCTTGGCTACACAGGGTACAGGCAGTGCTGGCTGGGATGACTGGGGCCTACCCACCCAGCCTGCCTTCCCTCACCCCTCTTTGCCTTCACAGGGCTCGAAACTATGCTGGGGCCTATCAGGAATGGTTGGAGAAGGTGGGGTAGGCAGCAGGTCGCTCCCTCCCACGGATATCTTCACAAAGGACAAACGACAATGAAACTGAGGTGACTCCTTGCAGTGCTTTGCACATGAATATCAAATAAAGAACATTTTGTCGAAGTATTGGAAGGTCTTAATTTCAGGTGGACTGAAAATAGTTCCACTTGTATTAATCTAGGCTTCATTTCAGCCCTAGATCATTTATCTTTGCAGCATTCATCTACCCCACTCTGAACCACCAGATTTTAACAATTTCTTGAGATGCTGAAATTCTAGAAGAGTTTTCTTTTTAGCCCAGGTTGCATGTACTGGTTTGTAAAGTAGCTTCAAAACAAAGCAACCTTAGGCTGGGGATAGTGGTGAGCTCTTTAGTCCCAGCCACTTGGGAGGTTGAGGCAGGAGGACTGCTTGAGTCCAGGAGTTTGAGTCCTACAATACAGCAAGAACCCATCTCAGGAAAAAAAACTTTTTTGGCCTCGTCCCAGAATCTGGTGGGGGGTCTGGGCACTTGTGGTTTTACAGGCCCCTGTGGCGATTCTTAGTTGTGCAGCAAGTACCACTGCTCTGGACTGGAGGTCAGCAAACTGACCCCCAATGTCTGTCCTGCTGCGGTCATTGTTTTACTTTATTTTCAAGATGGGGTTTTTCTATCTAATCCAGGCTGGCTTTTAACTCATGGTGATCCTCTTGCCCCAGTCTCCCAAGCCCTGGGATTACATGAGTGCATCACCACACCTGGCTGCTCCATTTATATATTGTCTACAACTGCTTTGGGCCAAAATGGCAGAATAGCCAAGCCACAGCTTATGTCCTCAAAAGTCAAAAATGGAGCCGGGGTGTTAGCTCAGTGGTTCCGCCGCCTGCTTCGCAAGCACAAGGTCCTGAGTTTGATCCCTGGTACCAAAAAAGAAAAAGTAAAAAATGGGTACTATCTGAAACTCTAGAGAAAATGTTTGCCAACCATTCTTCTACACCAGTGATGGCAAGCCTTTTAGAGATCAAGTGCCCAAACGGCAACCCCAAACCCACTGATTTATTGCCAAGTGCCAACACTACGATTAAACCTGAATCCTGAGGTTTCATTTTAGAAAAAACAGCTCATATACTTGGCTCATGTGCCAACAGTGGGCTCTGCATATCTGCTGTGACAAGTGTGCATAGGTTTACCACCCCTGGTCTAGACCCAGCTCCACAGACTCAACCTAACATTCCTCAGAATGTCCCTGGGTTGAGGAAAGGAAAAAGCAAATCCTAGGCTTTGGGTGAAGGAAGCAATGATCACTCTCCCCGCATTCCTATGGACCACAGGTATGAGGAGCCCCTTCTACGCCACCCCAAACAGGTTCTTGTTTTCATCACCGTTTTTTAACCCCCACTTGGATTTAACAAAATTTAATTGATTAAGAAAGATAGGCTGGCACTGGCCTTGAACTCACTGTGTAGCCCAGGCTGGCCTTGAACTCACAGTGCTCCTCCTACCTCAGCGTCCGAGTGCTGATATTATGTGTGCGCTTCACACCTGGACAAAATTTTTTTCGTTGTTTTTCTTTTTTTTTTGAGACAAGGTCCCACTATGTGGTTCAGGCTGGTTTTGAGCTCACTAGCCCAGGTTGGCCTTGAATTTGGGGACTTTCAAGTGCTGGGATTCCAAGCATTTACCACTGTGTCCAACGGAGACCTTTTTTTTCAGTACTGGGGATCAAACTCAGGACCTTGTGCTTGCAAGGCAGACGTGGTGCCACTGAGCTAAATCCCTGGCCCCTAAGACTTTTTAATTTTTTTTTTTTTTTTGGTACCGGGGATGGAACTCAGGTCCTTGCACTTGCAAGGCAGGCCACCGAACCGCTGAGCTAAATCCCCGGCCCAAGACCTTTTAATTTTTTAATGGCAGAGTTTTCACTTCTCAAGTTTGATTTTTAGCAATTTAATTCCTTTATCTGTGGAAAAGAAGGTTGGGTTAGAGATGGAACCCATTTTCTGACTTCTCAAGTTGCTGAATTCTTTCAGGCATTCTAGCATTCCTTGCCCTTTCCTCACCTCCCTCTTCTCTCCCTGGCTGCCTTCTGGACTGTAGCCGGCTCTCCTCTTTTATCTCACAGTCCACACTCAAATCTTTCATTCATCTGCGACTTGAGCATCACAGAGCTACCCCACTTTCTGTCTGGGCTAATCTGAGTTTAGCTGGACATTGTTAGGTCTGGAGATAAAGTGGAAATAGTGTATGTCGAAGTCTAGCCCAGAGCCTAGTAGCCATTATTACTCTTTTCCCAAATAACCAGATTCCTGGTTCTCAGACAGTTTTGGAAAATTTCTTGGGAGCTAACTCCCCTCTTTGTTTAGAGTCTTTTTTTTTTCTTTCTTTGAGACAGGATCTCTCTATGTAGTTAAATTCAGGCTGGCCTGGAACTCCTGGTGATCCTCCTGCTTCAACCTCCTAAGTGCTGGGATTACAGGTGTGTGCCATAATGTCTGGTCTTCTTTTTCACTCGTCTTCAGTCTTTATTATAGTTTATGGAATTTGTTTTTATTTTTTTATTTTTTTTGGTGCTGGGGATTGAACTTGGGTCCTTGCACTTGCAAGGCAGGCCACTGAACCACTGAGCTAAATCCCCAGCCCTATTTTTATTTATTTTTTAGACAGGGTCTCACTATGTTGTTCAGGCTGCTTTTGAACTAGCTATGTGGCCCAGGTTGGCTTCAAACTCATAATCTTCCTGTCTCAGCCTCCAGAGTGCTGGGATGACTGGCCTGTGCCCCACAGATTATAGCATTTCTATATGATGACAGAGGCATGATTTACTTTTGATAAGATACACCACTTTTTTTTTTTTTTTTTTTTTTTTGGAGACAGGGTCTTGTTATGTAGTTCAGGCTGGCCTTGAACTCACTATATAGCCCAGGCCGACCTCAAATTTAAAGCAATCCTCCTGCCTCAGTCTTCTGAGTGCTAGGATTACGTGTGTGCCACCACACCTAAAATACACTGTTCTTAAGTGTTGAGTCCGCTGAGTTTTGAGCATGCTCATTCGTAACTACTTACTTAACTACTTACCTAAACAGTTGGAACATTGAAATACCCAGGATTTTCCTGTCACCGAATTAGTTTCCTATGCATTGACATGTATTTTGGCCTTACAGCTGGATGTTAGAATTCTAGATGCTTACTGACCCAGCCTACCTCATAACTATGCCCTTTGGTGTGATCATTGTTTTCTTTTCTTTTTTTTTTTTTTCCTGGTACTGGGGATCTAACTTGGGTTCTTGCACTTGCAAAGCAGGTGGTGGAACCACTGAGCTAAATCCCCAGCCCTGGTGTGATCATTGTTAAAACAACATTCCTTTCTCTCCTTCATTAATCATTTGGTTAAGAACTTAATACACTATTCCAATCCATTGCCTTACACTTCAGAATTCTCTGTCTTTGCTTATAGCTGACTATTTCAGTGGGTGGGGTTTTAACAGCTAGACTCACTAATGGCATTTTGTTTGTTTGTTTTTGTTAGTAATGGCACTCTTCTTGTCTTTATTTATTTTTGGTACTGAGGATTAAACCCAGGGCCTTTGCACTGAGATACATTCCCAACCCTTTCTTATTTTTATTTTTTATTTTGGTACAGGGGAACCAACTTGGGACCTTGCACTTGTGAGGCAGGCAGCAGAACTAATGAGCTAAATTCCTGGCCCCCCTATTTATTTTTTTATTTCGACACAGGTTCTTAGTTGCTAAACTGCCCAGGCGGGGCTGAAATTTACAATCCTCTTGCTTCAGCCTCCTGCTGTGCTGGGATTATAGGTCTGTGGCACCACTCCCAGCTTCCCTTGCCTGCTTCTGCCTTCCTCTTCATACTAAATCAGACCCCCTTTCTCCCTACTCTATCTCTCCCAGGTTTGGTCTTGCCAGATGCCTGAGTCACCATATCCAAACCAGCCTTCATCTCCAGTGCCTTGAGCACAAATTCTTAGTGGGTTTTTGTTGAGCCTCGCTAGTCTTCTGACCTTCAAATCTTTTAATTTCAGCCCCTTTGAAGCATCACTGACTGCCCAATATATTTTTGTTTTGTTTTTGTTTTTTTGAGACAGTGTCTCACTGTGTAGTTCAGGCTGAACTTGAACTCACTATACAGCCCAGGCTGGCCTCAAACTTGTGGCGATCCTCCTACCTCAGCCTCCCGAGTGCTGGGACTACAGGCGTGCACCACCATGGCCGGCTTGTCTGCCCAATCTTGAAATAACTTTTTAATCTTATAAGGCAGAGGCAACAATTTACAATAAAATTTTCAAATGGAGAATGAGGGAGGAGGGAAGGGACAAGAAAAAAAGTGGAAGTAGAAGGAAAAAATGGAAACAAAGCTTTTGTATATAGGGAAGGTAGTGGGTTCAAGGGGAGAGGGGAATGGGAAAAAAGAGGAGGCAGGGTATATCACGTACTAGTGCAAATTCCCTACCATGGGTGTTATCATTATGTATATCTAAAATGTACCAATAAATGTTTTACTTAAAAAAAAAATTTACAATGGGTCCTTACTGCCTCGTGACAGGAGCACCTGTCTCGGCCCGGCCTTTGAGCAATTGGGGTCTCTATCTGATGTCACTGTATCTTGCCACAGCTCTCTCCCCTGCCTTCTCCATCAGCTTGGTCCCGTAGTGTCCTAAGTAGACCCTACTCATTTCTGGCACTGGCCTTCACCTGTCCCCTCTGCTTGGGAAGTCATTTGTACCCTCCAACTTTCACAAGAATTAGAAGAATGTATTTGGCAGATTTACTGTTCTCATCCAAAAGGCTTTTCAAGTCAAGGAGAAGAGAGAAAAACAGCAGATACAATTATGTAACTGAATTCCACGAAGGACACAAGATGCAGAATGGAGGGTAAAGTGCTTCCCACATGTGCACCTCCCTTTATATGAGCTGCTTATGGAGATGGGCTGTTTATTTATTGCTGTCTGGCCAGTAAGGAAACCAGAACCCAACATATAGGAAATACCCAGTAGATGATTTTCTATTGAGCCATTCAGAAATTCCCATGAAAAAATGCAAGGGAGAATGTTGGAAATAATCACTCCAAGTGGTAGCATGTTATTGTGCACAGGGAGTCATAGTGTGCTGGTGCACACCTGTAATCCCAGCAGGCTGAGAAGCTGAGGCAGGAGGATTGCAAGTTCCAGCCCAACCTGGGAAACTTGGTAAGGGCAAGGGATGTAGCTCAGTATCAAGGCCCTGAATTCACTCCCCAGTACCACACAAACAAAGAACAACAGAACAGTCATGAATCAGAATTCTGAGTCCCAGTTCTGACTTAGTGCAACTGAATGGTTGCTGGAGGTACTTTTAACTGTCTCATTTCTTGTTTTCCTTATTTTGTTAGTGTTTGCATCCTGAAATTCATATCAAAAGGAGGGAGGGGC